ATTAAACTTCCAATTCAAGTAAAATAACAAGAGACTTGCAGGCCAAAGCTTATTTCTCTAACAGAAGACTAGGTTCTAATGAAGTTTTTTCATGTTTTCCTAATCAAGAACATGATTTTATAGGTCTTTTCAGCATATCTGTTTTCCATATGATCTTTGTAAATCACATGTTGATGGAGGTCCACTCATAAAAATCTAATCATTCTCAAGCTTCACAATGTGGCCAAGGCTCTCAATTAATTGTTAAATTTTCAATGTAAGCATTCAAACCTGAGAAATCAGCAATGGCTACCAATCAGAGCTTGATTTCTTCTGTTGACTGTCCACACGTAAGCGATAGAGAAAATGTTAATAATGCAGATTAAACTTAAAAGTGTGTCTTTCCTAAAATTTTTTTCCAGACAGCCAGTTGTTAAACATTTACCAGCACAATCCTGGTTCTAATACTTTCCACAGCAGACACCAGAGTAACCACAGGAAAAAGAGAATCTTTGGTTTGCTGAAGGCATCACAAAATTGAAACAGGGTACTGAAAACAGTTGTCTATCAGATGATTTCCTGGTGACGCAGATCATAGTTAAAGTAACCTAGCCAGATAAGTTATCAGGTTATTATATCTCTCTTAACTCTAAAATTAGACATTTCTGAAAGGGACTGCTAAAGTCCAGTTTATTCCTCTGCTCCAACCATTTAAGAAATATTTACATCAGGAGAGCTGAAAGAACTTTCCCACATATTTAGAATGGAGATTATTTTTATAACTTAAGGAAATTATAGAATAAGTGCCTCCAAGTTACATTAAAAAAAAAGTTACTCTCTTCTCTGTTTCACAATGTAACCTATTCCTTTCTCCTACATCTACTTGGTTCTCAGTTCAATTTAAAATGATTAAATTTTTCTGTGGTCTCAAAAAGTGGAAGTTCAAATGTTTCCAAAATAAATGAAGTGAATGAATAGATGAGTCTAATTACAGTGAAAGCTGAACAGAAATAACCTGTGAAAGACAAAGATTGGGGCAATTCTAAAAGAAATGCCGAGAAAGCCCTCTCCATCACAAACTCACTGAGACACAGTAAATTAGAAGATTGAACACCTAGAAAGTTTTCATTACTAACACACATTTCACTTACTGTGTCATTCTACATTGTTCAGAATCTGATTAACTTTCACTATAACTGGACATTGAGATCATTCAACTAAATTGTTTCCTCATTCCCAAAGAAAATTGAAATTTTCACGAGTCTCTGTGCATAGACAAAACATTCTAGGACCATGTTGCTGGGACAGTCTCTGAATCAATTTGTTATTAATTAACTGAAAGGGAACATTGTCACAATCCAGTCTTTTACTTCATAGAGTTTTAGAAGTGATTTCTCTAAATGTTCTGAGTGTTGGCAACACAAGGAGACATTACACTAAGCTCAATGGATAGAAAATCTGTCTTCCAGCCAGCCACCAGGAAAATTTTCAGCAAAAATCATCTAGTGTCTAATGTGAAAATATGTTTAGTAGGAATGTATATGTAGAGCCTATATCAGATTGCATGCTGTCTTGGGGAGGAGCAGAAAATTTAAAACTCAAAATCTTATGGAAGTGAATGCTGAAAACTAAATATAAATTAATAAAAAATTAAGTTAAAAATTAAAAACAAAGTAACTTAAGATATCTTTTTAAAATCTTCTACTGTCATAAACTGGGGAAATTAACAGGACTTATTTGTATAGCATTTTACAGTTTCCAAAGCATTTGACATCCTTTATCTCACTGTATCCTCACAGCAATCTTGTGCAAGTTTTTTATCCCCGTTTTACAGACCAGGGCCTGTAAAAGGAAAAACTCACCAAAACAATTATGCACGTCTTCAGAAGAAGCTCAATTTATACAAGTAATTAATCTCTGATGAAAACTACTTCAACACATGACATGCACTCAAAGTCTGCATGACCCTCAATAATGTCAGTTAATCCTACCCAAGATGAAAGGAAAAAAGAACAAGCGGCTCACTCAATTTTCTCCCTAGCCCAGGCTATCAATGGAGAGAAGTTCAAAACTTAGTAAATATTCTATAATAACCACTTCAATTAAAATAGGAAAATTAGTTCCTAGAGTTAAAGTCTTAGAGGTATGAATACCTTAAACAGAATTCAGTTTAAATCAAACCAATTAAATTCAACTAATATTTATTAAGCACCTATCAAATGAAGAACATCTTATCCAAGTACTGAAGAAATACAATATCCTATGCCCCAAGAAGTTTAGGCTACTAGAGGTACAATACAAACATACTTAAGCATTATTTTGTATATTTATATAAAAGGAGCAACAAAGTGCAATGTGAGATGGGGATGGGTGGGAGGTGGGGAGGATCGTTACTTACTGGGAGGGCTGGGAAGGAGGGTCAATGAAAGCTTTTAAAAAATATTAACAATGGGGCAGCTAGGTGGCACTGTGGATAGAGCACCTGCGCTGGAGTCTGGAGGACCTGAGTTCAAATGTGACCTCAAGACACTTGACAATTCCCAGCTGTGTATGACCCTGGGCAAGTCACTTAACCTTGACTGCCTCACAAAAAAAAAAATTAACAAGCATTTACTTTCACTCCAACCTTCTCTTATGCTCCACCCCATTTTCAATGGGAGTGGGGAGGAAAGAGGAGACAGGAGACAAAGAAAAAACCGGAAAAAAGTTTTTCATTTAAAAAATACAGTCTCGAGGAAGGCTTAATGGAGGAGGTGCTATCTGAACTGGGTTAAAGGATAAGTTTGACTTCAACAGGTAGGGAAGGGTACTCCAGGTACAGAGAACAACATTAACATAGGCAGAGAGGAGGCAAATCATAGGATCCATACGGGAGTTGTCAAGGAGCCCAGTTTGACTTATAGTACATACAGAGGAGAAATAAAGTGGGAAAGGTAAGGTGATTCCAGATTTCGAAGAGCCCTGAATGCCTGGCTGAAGAAACTTTATCTGGCAGGCAATAAATCAACAATCACTGAAGGATTCTGAGCAAAGGAGTCATATGACCAGAGACACATATAAAATGAGAGCTGAGGCAACAATCAAAAAGGGAACTGGCTAAAATGCCTTGCACGTAATCCTAAATCCAATCTAACTGTTACAAACGATAGCATTTGCACATTTACCAGCTAAGACATAGACTTTTCATAAGTGCCATTAAAGATTTACCACAGAAGGAAATAGGGAGGTGAGTGCTTTTCACTGTGCACCCCCAAACTTTCTTAGATTGCTAAAGATTAAATTTTAAACTTACGTAAAAACACTGACCAAAAACTACCAATTTTACAATCCAAGTAATCCACAATGTATATACCCTTTATTTAGGTTCTCAATAAAAACTGATACCAATTTAATATCTTCCCTTGCCACCAAATACCAATAAAAGTTCTTCCACAGCAAGCTCATATTTATTCCAGACTAGGCTGAATGTTCTCCACAACATAAAGGTAAAATTATGTGATCTTGGAAAAAGTAGTTTCAGCAAAATTGTGGGGAAAGAAGCCCAAAGAACACATCTACTACATAACACTTAAGGCATAACTATAATTTAGAATTTGAAATCATTTAGAAAAAATAGCGAGCTGAAGCATATCTTTATACTACCTTGGAAAAAATGGCTATCAACAATTTAGTCATATAAACAAATTTTGGAGGAGAATATTTATATAAAAGATCAAGTTATTTGAACTTTAGAAATACCTACTTACATACAGCAACTAGGACAGCTGGGTGGTACAGTGGGTAGAGTGCTGGGCCTGAAGTCAGGAAGACTCATCTTCTGAATTCAAATCTGGCCTCAGACAGACTACCTGTGTGACTCTGGGCCAGTCACTTAACCCTGTTTGCCTCAATTTCCTCAACTGTAAAATGAGCTAGAGAGGAAAATAGCAAACTCTAGTATCTTTGCCAAGAAAACCCCAAATGGGGTCACAAAGAGTCAGACGCAACTGAAACTACAACAACCTACATATAACCAATGAAATTACAAAGGTTAAATTGGGATCTTGATTTCTAATAAGCATATTACTTTTAACTGTGATAGACTCCCAGAGGTCTGAGATTGGTCCTATTTATTTTTCTATCTCTCCTACCACCTAGTAAAGTACATTTCATATCATAAGCAATAAGTAAATGTTTGTTGAATAAATAGATAAGAATTTCAAAGTAAGACTTCTACTAGCCTAATCCAATTTATAATATGCATTTAAGTAACATAAATGCGTTTTAAAATGCTATAATTCAAATTCTACTCTAATCCAGAATTACTTCCCTCCAATTATTCAGATATTCAATATTTAACACCTGTCTCCTTACCATACTAATTCCTAGAAAGCCATGGCTATATATAGTACCATGCACTTGGATGGAAATGCTTACTATTTAATAATTACTTTACTAAAATTGAGACAATAAAATAGATTTTTCTCCTATGATGCTGTCAGTGTTTAAACAGTAACAGACTTTGGTACGAAGTACAATGTCAGCGTCTACTGAACCTCACATTACCAGAATTCATTTCCCAGCTACTCCTCTTGAGCCTACCCAAAATAGTTATTTCTGCCTCTCCATTTAAGCATCCAGTAGAAATAAAATTCAAAAAATCAAATCATTGTCCACAAGTTTATTGATGTTTTCTACTGATCCTGAAAAAATATATAAATAACATGACAACGACACTATAATTCTATGTTGGGCAATCTCCTTTCTCCTTCAGTAAAATTCTTTTTAAAAGTGAACAAAATGTTATAGTAGAATGAATGCTAGACTCAGGGATAGGACTTCTAACCCTGGCTCACCACTACCTGCTGTGTGACCCTGAATAACTTACTTCATGTCTCTGTGTTTCAGTTTCCTAACTTTCTTATGATATGGAAAATTAAGGGATTAGCAGATGATTTCTAAGATTCCTTCCACCTACAATATTCTATGAGTCTATGAAGAATAGTATATTGTTCTCAACATCACCCCTACAGCCAGCTTACCTTTTACCACTTTCAATGTCTCTGAGCTTGAATCTTCACTTAGAGGGAAAACCAAGACCCAAGGAGTATTCCGCACCTGAGCTCCAGTTAAAAAATTACTGGTTTAAGAGAAAAACAGCTATCCAACTTCTCCTTTACTTCCCAGAAGACCTAATTTATGGACACATCTCCCTTTGTACTACATTTTTCTTAAGAAAAAAAAAACTTTAACCAGAATTCCCCTTCCCTCTATATATCACTTTTCTGTTTGACCACACATAATGGCAAAATTTTTTTCTACGTAACAATGCCTCAGTTCCTCTTTTTCCTAATTGAGAGATTTTTGCCTTGCAAATGACAAACGTTATGCCAAAGACTTAAAAATGAACAGTTTCAGGATCAAGAATGTCAACTAAAATATTATTCAAATGCTTATAGTTGTTATATTTCCAACTCAAGAATTTTATACTACCTGTATTTCTTAATAAGAAAGGAAACAATATTTTATTCTCCTCTGTTTAAAAAGTCAGGTTCCAATTACATATACTGTTACACTGTAGACATGCTAGTTAAGTTTTGTTGAACTACTCCCCCCCTTTTTTGATATTTTGTTAGAAAGGATGGGTAGGGGAGAAAGAAAGAATATATTCAGAAATGAAGGTGAAGTAAAAACAAGAAATATTTTTAAGAAACATTCAGGTTCATAAGATTATATGAAACACAAGGTTATACTAAAATAGGATCACAGATTTGGAGCAGGAAAGAATCTTGGGGATCATCTAGGTCAGCCCCTTTATACAAATGGAGACTGAGACAGAAAGGTTGTGATTTGCCCTTGGTCACATGGGTAGTAAGTAGCTGAGCCAGGATTCAAACTCAGGTGTTTTGACTCCAAAATGTGGTCATTTGTGTGACAAATTACAGTGAAAATGTGTGATATTTGTGTCCCATCAATCCCACAGAATTGAAATTCTACATCCTCAGAATTAAAGGAGTATTAAGCAATTTATACAATGGTTGGTATTTTGTTTTGTTTTGTTTTTTGGGCAGCTCTCATTCTTAATTACTCAACTTTATAGTCTTAAAACCTAAACTATCCAAAAGATGCTCAGATAAACTACCTTGAAGACACCCTTCATTTATCTCCCCCTCATCCTAAACTGCAAGGTCTAGGGATGAAATGTTCTGCTTAATAATCACCATATGTATCAATAAAGAAAAATCTAACAAGTACCTGTGTACTTTTGCATCTCTCCCTTCCCCTCAATCCAGAATGAAAGTCCCTCAAGGAACATGTTTTAGAGACACATTAAAAAGCGAACAATACTGTAAAAGTGAATTGCAAGAAATGCCAAACATTTAATAAACAATAAATACCACAGGAGTTCAGAAGAGGGAGAGGCACTAGAAGCCCTGCGTCTTCTTAGCGGATGGGACTCCCATTCATCAGGGATCCAGACAGCCTACACTTCTGAGTCTCAGGAACTAGAAGCCTAGAAACACCTGCTTCACACAGTCATGCATAAATCCTTGAAACCTAAGGATTCTATGAGGCCACTGTCAAGTGAGAGTACAGTCTAGCTAGGGGAATTGTATCACCAGGTATTTTTACTGACCCAGACATCCAGACAAAAGTCATGCCACCTCTTCATATGCTCCATTCCCAGTGTTCACAGTGACAAGCCATAAAAGGTGATGCCACAACCGCCATATCACACTTAGTCATCACAGGATCCTGGGTGAGGTCTCCCATCCTTAAATGGTTCTTCCTCCATCCCATGACTGTCAAACACCCACTTCCTGTTCCCCTTACTCTAGTAATTCAGAATCTCCATTTGCTGATGCAAAATCCTTTCCCCAGCCACTTCCACCCATACTCTCATCATCACCTTAGATCTCTTAATCTTATACTCTTTTCCATCTTGTACAATCTTTTTCTCAACCCTTACCCATTCTCCCTCACTGGGGGGCTTCAACATACATAATGATGTTCCCTTAAACACTCTGGCTTCTGACTTCACCAATCTCCATTAATTCCCATGATCTATATCTTTAATCAGCCTCAGCTACCCACAAGGATAATCACACTCAGGATCTCTCTGTCATCCATAACCAGGCCACCTCTACAACCTGTAACTCCAAAACTCCTCTTTCTGAACATAAACTTTCATTCTTCCATCTCTCTCTGCTTCACTCTCCCTCAACCTGCTTGCACTTCGGCACCACTCCAGTTCTTCCAACTACCTCTACTCTACTCAATCACCCTGCTTTAGCTTCACTATCCTCTCTCTACACTTCTGACTGTAGAGGAGATGAATTCAACTATACACTGTCCTCCACTTTCAAATTCCCTGTCCCTTTGTACTACCACTTTTCACCTTGCCAATCTTCAATCCTGGATCACCCCCAACATTTATCTTCTCTACTATTCCCAGGCTACTGAATGCTTCCAAAAAAGTCATACCACTGCGCCAGCTAGGGACATCAAAAATTATCTAATGTTATCTAATCTCTACTGAGCCCTTGCTGCTCTATGGTAATCCTTTCATTCTTCTCTAATTGGCTCTCTTCCCAAAAATCCCTCCCTCTGTGACATCACTTCCTACTTTACTGAAAAATTAAATAATTTGTCCATTAGGTGCTTCATTCCCTTACTCCAAAATTCAAAATCACTATGGGTCTTCACCCATGCTTTCCTTTGTTCCCCTAAGAAGGTGGCCCTTCATCTTGTCAAGGATAACTCCTCTACTTGTACCTTGGATCCCATCCTCTATGATCTCCTCTGGGAGGCAGCCCCAGGATTTATTCTTTCATTAATTCCTTCCCTGTTGCCCACAAGCATGATTTGGTCCCCCTTATCCTAAAACTCTTCATGTAAGTTCCACCTCACACCTGTTAGATTGGCAAGGTTGACAAAGAAAAAGGAAAATGACAAATGTTGGAAAGGTGTGGGAATACAGATGCATCAATGAACTCTTGGTGGAGGTAGGATCTGTGTCATAGGATTCAGACAATGAAGGTACCTTGAAGACCAACCCTCTCGTCTTACAGACGAAAGTGAAGATCAGAGAGGTAAACTGGTTTGTCAAATTGGCACAGGCAAGTATCTATTTATATCAATATCAATATTTCTATATCTAAGTATCTAGATACATATATAGGCAGATAGATATAAGGGATCAAGGAAAGCTTCTTGTTCATTTTAATTTTGAGTTGGATCTTGGAGGAAGAGAGGGACTTCAACTGATAAGAAAGGAGAAGGAAAGAACAGTATGAGCAGAGGCATGGAGACAAGACAGAGAGACAGAAACATTAATACCCTAGGACTGGGGACATACATACAGAAAGACAGATAAATATTTAGATATCTCCCACCTATGTATGAGTCTTTGCACAGACCATCCTTTCATGCCTTCCTTATTTCTGCCTCTTAGAATCTCTAATTTCCTTCAAGGTTTAGCTCATCTTTTACATGAGACCTTCCCCAATCCAGTACTTAGTACCATGCCGGCCATATAGAAGGCACTCAAATTCTTATTAATTGACTCAATCCCTTCAGCTGCTTGTCCCATTCCACACACACACACCCCCACAAAAAAAAAATTTTTCTTGTATTTATGTTGTATACGTTTCATATCTGCTCACCTGGGTTTGTGCTTTTCTCTGCAACATAATGTAAACTCCCTGATGAAAGGGCCTGTTTTATTTCTAACTTTGTGCATCCCAGCATCTAACAATTCCTGGCTCATAATTGGCACTTAAGAAATGTTAGCTGAATGATATGCCTGCTAAATCTTCTCCAGGTTACATATCTCCAGTGACTTCACATGATCCTCCTATACATGAATCTTTCACCATCCTGGTTACCCTCTTATATGGATACTCTCAAGCTTTTCAATTACATCATTATTCTTAAAATGCGGCCCCCATAACTGAACACAATACTCTGGATTCAATCAGAACACGGCAAAGTACAGCAGGATTGTCACCTCCTGGTAATACACAGACGCCACAAAAAGACCACTGGATTTAACAGTAAAAAGGCCATTAATAACACTGGAGAAAGCGATTTTGGTAGGGCAGTAGAGACAGAAGTTGGATTCCAAAAGGATAAGGAATGAGTGGGTAATGAAGAAGCAGAGATACTGAGTGTAGTTATTCTTTCTAGAAGTCTAGTAATGAAGGAATCGTGAAGGAATCAAGACAGGAAGGATTGTGGGAATGAGGGGCCAAGAAAAAGCAAAGAAAAAAAATCAACAGAATAAGAACTTGGGGTAGAATTTTAGACGCCCCACAAATCACATTCTAGGATGCCATTTGACCAGTTCTATACATTACACATGTTTCATATACAAAGACAAAGCTGCTGACAAACATGGGACTGTAGAAGGGGTCTTGGAGACCATCTAGCCCAAATCCCTGTTTCAGATGAGAAAACTGAAGCACAGAGAAGTTAAGCAATTTGCCTGAGATCACACAGGTAGTAGTAGGATGTAGACCCAGGTTTTCCTGAATCCAAGTCTGGTATACTATCCACTACACCACACCATCAGGATAATTTAAGTTGTCTTCCAGTTACTGATAAATTTGCACTGATGTAACAATATGCTACCCAAACAGTTTTGTAACCAAGGGCACATACATCTGCAAGATAGCTAGCCACAGTTAAAGGTAGTCTGTAGCCTTGAAACATGCAGATTTATCTTGTGAGATTGACCTGATAAACACAGAGCTCTCAATAACATAACTAGCCAAAGTAAGGTATATAGTATTTCACAGCTGAAGCGGGGTCAGGGAGGGGGGGGAGAGAAGAAACTAACTAAAGGCCAAGATCTGGTAGGAAAATGTAGTCTAGTCATAGGAACAGAGATTCTTGAGGAGTCATGGTCCTACAATGTGTAATATGTAAGATTTGACATATTTAAGATTTCCTTCAAAGACCACATAAGAGGAAATGGGCAAGGCTTCTTAGTTTTAACAGCCTGAACATCAACATTAACAAAAGGTTTGATAAGAGTAGGAGTCAGTGTAATAAACAAATTCTGAGCCTCCAAACAAAAATATACAAAGAGGCCCCTTTGAGGACAACACCCTAAAGCAACCTGGTACCTTGGAGGCACCCTCCTTTTATGGACCTCCAAGCAATGAAGGACATATGATATCACTCTATAGCATATTATGTAACAGCCTTCACTTTTTGAAACTCACATACGTTACTGAAATTGCCCAGTGAGGTATACAGGTAAGTATCGTTAGCCATTTTTTATAGATGAGGAAA